GAGAGAGAGAGAGAGAGAGAGAGAGAGAGAGAGAGAGAGAGAGATTCGCGTACGGTATATTTTCCATGTTATATCGTTACGGGGATATGCTGTAGCATGCATTGCACTTCCTACTACCTCGGTAAGAATATAAATTGGTAAGTTAAACACGTTGTCTCTCCTCTGTAGTCGAAGTCGGAGGCATTACGTCAGCGCGTACAAAACAATCAAGAGCAGAGTTCACGTACGATTCTCACGGAATCTTTATGAGAAATTGACTCGGTTTACATATTAGCAAAAATAGGGAAACACTCTTTCGAGCGCATATATGTCATATCATAGAGACATCGTTGTTGATGAAATCACGACGTCATATCTTCACTGACTTTGTTCGTATTTCTTTCCTTTTTGATTCGCGTCTGTCCGTTTGTACAAATCAATCTCGATGCCGTGGGCGGCCCGGTAAAGGTAGAGGTCACCGGTGACCGGTGAGGGTTAACGAACGGGTGGCAACAAGATGAACTCGGAGCACATTTTTGCGAAGGCCTACTTGAAGGCCAGGGAAGTACCGCGAGACACTGAAATTCGATTCTCTGACGAATCGTATTTCTCATTATTCTAGTAAAGCATGTGATTACAATACTTTTATCAACGCGTCTCTTTTATGTTTTTCTACTCTTTTGAAAGCAATTTTTATGAGATGCAATTTTTGTTTTGTCAGATAATGCGTATCGGTTTCGCCAGTGATCACGCTTTTTTGCAACAAAAGGAACGATAAATTGTAACACGTGTCTCACGCGTGTCACGTAAAAATTTGATAACGTTTTCGTGAGAAATAATTCGCGAACATCACGAATTATATAGTTCTCTGCGGATATAAATATAGAGGCGCGCACAACGTTGGTCAAACACTCGTTTGATTGAGAAAAATAAGAATCGTCATGTCTTGGACGTTTTTCGCTCTTTTGCTAGCCACTGTATTTCTCGTGGCGGTCACATTATTGCCAGAGATCAGCGCGGAAGCTTTCGCCGATCCTGAGGACGATCTGGGAGGCTTCGTTGACGGGCTTCCAAAGACAACGACAACGCCTGCGGAATAACTAACGAGATGGCAATATCATTCGGAGTATTTGGCGATGTTTTGTTTCAATACGCAATAAACGCAGGTGCATAAATATAAATGAAAATGTCGATTGTGAGTAATCGAGTGAGCATTGAGAAAATATAACAGATTGACATTAGCGAGTCAAAATATATGTGTCGTATATTGCGATTATCTGTGAAATACAAGCCCGCTCAAACTTACTCCTTTGGTGAAACAGGATGCAAAATTGGCGACTCTCGCGACGACGTTAAGGACGTCGTTCACGCGAGACCCACAACCATTGTCAATCACGACCCACCATTCCCCTTTTCCCTGTCCTTTCCTCCCCCCCCCCCCCCC